CGGCTTGCCTTCCAGAATGTCCCCGACGGCGTAGACGTAGGACACGTTCGTCTGCTCCACGTCGTTCACGGGGATCTTGCCGTCCCTGTCGGTTTGCGGAAAGGGAATAGAGTGAGTGCGGCCCACCCCGGGCTGCGCGGCGGCTGGCGCTGCTCCGAGTCGCTCCGCGCGGGGCAGGAGCCTCGTCCAGAAGCAGCCACGCAAGGCCGGGCGCGGAGGCCCACGCCCGTCGTCCCGGCACTCTGGGAGGAGGCCGAGGCGGGAGGATCGCTCGAGGTCGGGAGTTCGAGTCCAGCCTGAGCAAGAGCGAGACCCCGTCTCTACTAAAAAAAAAAATAAAGAAATTAATCGGCCAACTAAAAATATACAGGAAAATAAAAAATAAACGAGCCGGGCGTGGCGGCGCACGCCTGTCGTCCCAGCTACTCGGGAGGGAGGCCGAGGCGGGAGGCTCGCTGGAGGCCAGGAGGTGGAGGCTGCCGTGAGCGAGGCTGACGCCACGGCGCTCACTCCAGCCCGGGCGACAGAGCGAGACTCTGTCTCAAAAAAAGAAAAAAAACCAAAAACAAAAACAAAAAACCCCAAATAACACCGCATGGCCTAAAGGAAAGAGAAAATGAATAAAATAAAATAAAATAAAAAGAAAAAAAGAAGAGTTGCCGACTGATTTGATGAAGACACTGAAAATGAACGGCTGGTGCGGCACCTACTATAAGATAAATTTAAAGCGTGCAAATTTTGTATCTCAGTGATTAAATGAGAATCTCCAGGACCCTAAATTCCCTGAAGGAGAATTTCTGCGAGTTGCTACGACCTGCAGCCAAGTCCTGCCCTGCGCAGGGCGAGCCCTCCTGCACTCACTTGTCGCTGATCTTGACGCCGATCTTCTCCAGGCCGAGTCTCCTCGTGCAGGCATCGCGGCCAATCGCCAGCAAAACCTGCATTTATACAGGGGGCGAAAAAAAAGGACACAAATGACTCACGTCGGTAATGCAAGAGGCAACGCAGCTGCAGCTCAGGGTCCCCAAATCCCGGCCCGCGGCCACATGCCGCCGCCCACCACATTTATCCGGCCCGCCCGGTGCTTTTGCCACCCCTGCCTGTCCCTCTGTACGGCCGGTCGCTGCCTGTCCCTCTGTACGGCCGGTCGCTGCCTGTCCCTCTGTACGGCCGGCTCGCCCCGGGCCCGCAGGGCGCATGTGCAGAACGTGCGCCCCTCTCTCCCACGGTCTGAGTGACAGCGGCCTGGCCCCCCCTGTTTAAAAAGTTTGAGGACCCCTGCCCTAGCTCCTTCAAACATTAAAAGGATAATAACAACATCAGGAAGAACACATGCCAATAAATTTGACAGCTTATTTAAAACAGATTCCTGAAAAGACACAATTTACCAAACTCACGCGCGCAAATCTGAATAACCCTAACCCCTTGCACTCGAATGTCGAGCGATTTTTCGTGACTCAATACGGTCAGCAAAAATTATAGAGATTAAAATTCCTCTTTGAATGTATCGATAAATTGAAATATTAAAAAAATCCAAATAAACAAGTTTGTACGAAAGGAAACTCCAGTTTTTTATGCTACTGCCGCGCTTTGTAAAATCTGGGGCATTAAAAGAATTAACTCCCGAGTAGAATGAAGGACTCGAGGAGAAAGCAAGGAGTGCAAAGCGTTAAGATACGGGTTGAATTGTTTCCCTTCAAAGTTCGCATGCCTTTGGTGCAAACAAGCTCTAAAGTGTAAAAAAGAAAGACAAAAAAGAAAAAGCGAATAATAAAAATAATAATGAAAAAAATAAACACAAAATCCACATGTTGAAATCCTAACCCCACAGCCAGGCGCGGTGGCTCTTGCTTGTAATCCCAGCACTCTGGGAGGCCGAGGCGGGAGGATCGCTCAATGAGGTCAGGAGTTGGAGGCCAGCCCGAGCAAGAGCGAGACCCCGTCTCTACTAAAAAAAAATAGAAAGAAATTAGCTGGACAACTAAAAATATATATACAAAAAATTAGCCGGGCGTGGAGGCGCATGCTTGTAGTCCCAGCTGGTTGGGAGGAGGCCGAGGCAGGAGGCTCGCTGGAGGCCAGGAGTCGGAGGCCGCCGTGAGCGAGGCTGACGCCACGGCACTCCAGCCCGGGCGACAGAGCCAGACTCTGTCTCAAAAAAAAGAAACCAGACAAGGAGGCTCACTGTCACAATTTCTAATTAACCCTGCAAGAAGGCAAGGGAAAGAGAAAAAGCATGCATGTTGGAAAGAAAGAAAACTTTTAATTTGCAGATATTAATCCTAAGAAGCCGCTACACAGTTAAAACACACCCACGAAAAAATCATTTGTATTTCCATATACTACCAACAAACCACTGGAAATTGAAATTTTAAAGGTACCATTTTTACCAGTTTAAAAATCATGGAATGGCCGGGCGCGGAGGCTCGCTCCTGTCATCCCGGCACTCTGGGAGGCCGAGGCGGGAGGATCGCTCAAAGTCAGGAGTTGGAGGCCAGCCTGAGCAAGAGCGAGACCCCGTCTCTACTAAAAAAAAAAGAAAGAAATGAGCTGGACAACTAAAAAATATATAGAAAAAAAAAATGAGCCGGGCGTGGTGGCGCATGCCTGTGATCCCAGCTACTCGGGAGGGAGGCCGAGGCGGGAGGATCACTCGAGGTCAAGAACTCGAGACCAACCTGAGCAAGAGCGAGACCCTGCCTCTACTAAAAAAATAGAAAGAAATTAGCTGGACAACTAAAAATATATATACAAAAACTGAGCCGGGCGTGGTGGCGCATGCTTGCAGTCCCAGCTACTTGGGAGGGAGGCTGAGGCAGGAGGATCGCTGGAGGCCAGGAGTTGGAGGCTGCTGTGAGTGAGGCTGGTGTCACAGCACTCTAGCCCGGGCCACAGAGTGAGACCCTGTCTCAAAAAAAAAAAAGAAAATCACGGAATACTTAGAGATAAATTTAGCACCATAATAAAACACTGCTAAGCGAAACTAAGGAATGCATAAATAATTGCAAAGATATACGAGGTTTGTGTATTGCAAAAATCAATATTGTTAAGACATCAGGTCTTCTAAGCTGATTTACAGAAAAAATGCAATCCCACCCAAAATCCCAGCATACGTTGCTTTTTTAAATTTTTTTGCTCACAAAAAGCAATGAGCCGTTTTTAAAATCTATACGGAAATGCAGAAGACCTGAACAAAGACAGAGGAATCGATTCACCTGGTCTGAGACTTCCCATAAAGCTGAAATGATCCAAACAATGAGGAGCTGGAAAGGGGATAGACAAATGGTCTAGGAGACAGAATAAAGAGCACAAAAACAGCTCTGGGAGGCCGAGGAGGGAGGATCGCTCGAGGTCACAAGTTCGAGACCAGCCTGAGCAAGATTGACACCCCGTCTCTACTAAAAATAGAAAGAAATTAGCTATATATAAAAAATGAACCAGGCATGGTGGCTCACGCCTGTCGTCCCAGCTACTCGGGAGGCCGAGGCAGGAGGCTCGCTCGAGGTCAGGAGTTCGAGGCCAGCCTGAGCAAGAGCGAGACCCCTCGTCTCTACTAAAAAAATAGAAAGAAATTAGCTGGACAACTAAAAAAATATATATATAAAAAATGAGCTGGGCGTGGTGGCGCATGCCTGTCGTCCCAGCTACTCAGGAGGCCGAGGAGGGAGGATTGCTCCAGGTCAGGGGTTTGAGGCCAGCCTGAGCAAGAGCGAGACCCCGTCTCTACTAAAAAAAAAAAGAAAGAAATGAGCTGGACAACTAAAAAATATATATACACATAAAATGAACCAGGCGTGGAGGCTCACGCCTGTCGTCCCAGCTACTCGGGAGGGAGGCCAAGGAGGGAGGCTCCCTTAAGGTCAGGGGTTAGAGACCAGCCCGAGCAAGAGCGAGACCCCGTCTCTACTAAAAATAGAAAGAAATTAGCTATATATAAAATATGAACCAGGCGTGGCGGCTCACGGCTGCCGTCTCAGCTACTCGGGAGGAGGCCGAGGTGGGAGGGCTGCTCCTCGAGGTCAGGAGTTCGAGGCCAGCCTGAGCGAGATCGAGACCCCCCCGCTCTTGCTCCTGGCGCCGTTTTTCCCATAAGCCCCATCTCTGCTAATTTGCGGGCGTTTTCCAATCGCTTAACGCTGAAACAGACAGACAGACAGACAGACAGACAGAGAACAGAGCTCACCGTGTTGTACACGCCGCTGATGGTTTCCGGCCCCTCCGTGGATTTAGCCACCACTTTCAGCTTTCCCGGCGACCCTTTCTCCAGCTGCTGGATCTAACAAAGACAAACAGCGTAAGGACTGCGTGTAAAGGCGACAGAGAACACAGGGACCGGAGCGCCCGTGCACACGCGTGCGCTTCTATCTGCACGGGGAGGGCGGGCGGCGCCCACGCGAGCGGCGTGTTTAAGGTGTCCGGGCTGGCCAGAGACAGGGAAAAGCGGGACACATTCTGCGGGTGGAGACGGGCTGACGCGGGCGTGGGGATCACAGAAGGAAGCCCTAAGAAGGAGAAACGGAGGGACGCTTCCGGGCGTTGGCTTAGCGACTTCGCAAACTGCGGTGCCAGGGCAGGTCAGCAGGGGACGAGAGTGGGCCCCGGGATCTGGGGGGGGGGCTCAGACGCTTTTAAACAGGGGGGGCCGGGTCACCGTCCCTCAGGCCGTGGGAGAGAGGGGCGCACGCTCCGCACATGCGCACCGCGGGCCCGGGACGAGCCGGCCGTACAGAGGGACAGGCAGCGGCCGTACAGAGGGACAGGCAGCGGCCGTACAGCGGGACAGGCAGCGACCGTACAGCGGGACAGGCAGCGGCCGTACAGAGGGACAGGCAG